CACACAGAGAGGGACTGCAAGTGCAGCACTGAGGACTGGGTGGAGATTTGACCCACGTCTGCTCTCAGAGCCAAGGGTCCTTATGTCTGCACCCAGGAGATGGTGGCCAAGCCCCCTGTTCTCCTCTCTCCCACATGCAGACAGCTGAGGCCCAACTGGCCTACGAGCTCCAGAGTGCCCGGGAGCAGCAGAAGATCCGGCAGGAGGAGATAGAAATCGAGGTGGTGCAACGCAAGAAGCAGATCGATGTCGAAGAGAAGGAGATCATCCGGAAGGAGAAAGAGCTGATAGCCACAGTGAAGCGGCCGGCTGAGGCCGAAGCTTACCGCATCCAGCAGATCGCCGAGGGCGAGAAGTGAGTGAGCCTGAGCCGGTCAGTGGGGGCACAGGGACCTGTACTGTGCCTGCCTGTGTGCTGGGCTGGGGTGGGAGCGCTGTGCTCTGACCCAGCTTGCAGGCTGATGGTGGAGATGTTGGCTGCTATAGGGCTTGCTTTGCCTTTTCAGGGTGAGGCAAGTCCTCCTGGCTCAGGCGGAGGCGGAGAAGATCCGCAAGATCGGAGAAGCTGAGGCCTTTGTGATTGAGGCCATCGGGATGGCAGAGGCTGAGAGGATGAAGCTGAAGGCCGAAGCGCTCCAGAGCTACGGGGAAGCTGCCCAGCTGGCTCTGGTGCTGGATGCTCTGCCTGAGGTGAGGAGGGAGCAGCTTTCCCCTGCTCTGGGCTGGAGGTGGGGAGTTCCCAGACTGGGCCAGCTCTCCTGGAGGCACAGAGAGTCCCCACGTGGTATGCAGGTCCTCACCCTGTGGGTCTGACCAGCAGCTCCGTGGCTGCGTGCTCATCCCACGCTCTTTCCCTGCCTCCTCAGATTGCTGCCAAAGTGGCTGCTCCGCTCTCCAGAGTGGATGAGATCGTTGTTCTCAGCGGGGAGAGCAGCAATGTGACATCTGAGGTGAACCGCCTGCTGGCTGAGATCCCCGCCTCTGTGCGTGCCATCACCGGTGTGGACCTCACAAAGGTGAGCTGGGCACCAGCAGCAGCCCACGGCCTCTTGGGTGTGGGGAACTGCCTTGAATTATTCAGATTTTAGGCAGCCTCTTCCCACAGCCCTGCCCTGCTGGAGCTCCCTGCATCCATCTTCCTGCGGCCCTAACAGTTCTCTCTTTCCCTCCTACAGATTCCTCTGATCCAGAAAGCCACTGGGGCCCAGGCATGAGACCCAAAGCACGTGAAGATCACTCCCTGTTATGCACTCCGACATCAACTGCCTTCAACACTTGGGAATTCCTTTTATATCAGAGACAATTGGAGTTTCGTTTTTAAGCTCTGGTGCCTTATTTTGTAGGGCCAGAAGGATGCATGTTCAATCAGCCGCTCTTTTTGTTACAAAGGGTGGGAGGAGATTTATTTTCTAACTAATTGTATATTGTATCCAGCCGGTGCTTGGCTCTGACCCACAGTTAGGACTGGCAGCTTGTCTGGTGTTGCTATTCTCTGTCCTCAGGACCTCACAGCAGGGGCTCAGCAAGATGTGTGCAGGCACCAGGGCCTGCTCTGGGCACCCTTCCTTCCCACTGCGACCCTATGGGGCACTGCCCAGACCCCTGCTGCTGCCCACAAGCTGGGTTTGTGGTTGGCTTTCCACATCTGTTTGTCTTGCCGTGCAGCCTGGGCACGGCTTCCCAGAGGTGGCAGTCCCACCCTGGTCGGGTGATGCTGGGGCACTGCCAGGGCTCAGTGCCCGCTCCCATCTTGCCTTCCCTCAGGGAATTTCCTGCTGGCCTCTTGCTCAGCCCTGAGCCGGGTCCTTTGGTGCCATGCTGCTCCCCACCCTCAGGTTCCCTGACCTCAAGGAGTGCTGCAAGGAGGCCGTGCTGCAGAAATCCCAAGAAGTAGCATTGTGCCAAAGCTGTTCGATCGTACCAGAGGGAGGCAAACCACCCAGGCTGCTGTCCCTGAGTGCCACATGCCTCTCACCTCTGCTAGCAGAGCAAGGGCCTGAGTGGCATGGGATGGCACAGGGCACTGTGATGGAGACACGTTCCTCCTCCGACCTGCAGCACTCCTGCAAACCCCCACCCACCTGGCAGCCCATGGCTTTGCTGTCCCCAGAGATGCTGTGAAAAGGCTGTCCTCTCTGTGTCCCCTGCAGTGCCACCAGGAGCAGGCACTGACCTTCACCCTCTCTGTGTCTGTCCTGCTGCCTGTGTTTGGTGTGGCTGTGCCTAAAAACGTGTGCATTGAGCCCCAGCTGGTGGGATGGGGGGGGTCCCAACTTTGTGCATCCGGTGCCACAGCTCAGTGTCACCCTCTTTGCAGAGGGGTGGCTGCTGGGTGCAGAGACCCAGGCCCACTTTGCCCTGGCGGTGCCACTGGTGCTGCAGTGTCACCTCCCTATTGCTATACCGGGGGGGGGGGGGGGGGGGGGGGGCAGGTCTTATCAGCCCCCAGCTTGTGGCTGCCAACCCCGATCTGGTGCTTGCTGGTGGGTGTGCCGGGCAAGGCTCCCTATCTCTGTGTGTGTGCATGCCTGCACCGTGTCACTGCTGTGCGATAATAAAGCCTGTCACCTCGTGCCCTGGCTCCCATCTCGTGCCTTCTGTCCCCACTCCACATCCCCAGAGTGTTTGCCCTCCTGGCAGCCCACCTTGGCTGCGCTCAGGTGTCCCCCCATCACCATGTCTCCATGATCCCATTGTCCTGTCCTCAGGGCTGCTTCCTGCCCCCCACTATGTGGGGTTCAAGCCCTGTTCCACTTTGCTGGGTGGCAGCAGCTCTGTGTGTCACCCAGGGACCCCATTTCTGTGGGGGCACTGATGCTGGCGGGGACTGAAGGCTCCTTCTGTCCCCGGGTTGGTGGCACTGCGCTGTCCTCACCGGCTCTGCACCCATGGGTGTGAGAGATGGAGAAGGGCTTTCGCCAGGGTCTTCAGCAGCAGGAAAAGGGATGGTGGGCTGCGAGGATGGCACTTCCCAGGGAGAGGGCTGAGGATCTTGTACAGGGTGCCCAGAAGTGCCCATGCTCCATCCCTGGAGGTGCACAAGGCCAGGTTGGGCACATCCTGGCAGTGCCCATGGAAGGGGTCGGACAGGGCAGCCTAAAGTCCCTTCCAGCACAAGCAATGCTGTGACTCCACATCCTGGGACACCTCTGTCCCCAGCCCTGTGCCGGTGGCTCTGCTGGTACGTGTCCTCTCCATGTGAGTGAGGACATCCAGCAACCAGGGGGCTCTGTAGACACAGCCTCCTTGTGCCCCCAAGCCCCTCTGTGTCCCATCAAGTGCTGGGCAGGACAGAAGGGCCCCCCGTCCTGCACGCCCAAGGCAGGGTGGCTCTGCAGATAGGTGGGTGGGGATGGGTCGGTGGCTCCTTATCTATAGCCAGACACAGCCCTGCAGCATTGGCAGAGGGGGGCTGCAGTCCCAAAGCCCCCATAGCTGCTCTGCAGTGCTGTCCTGGGGGCCGCACACTTGGCAGTGCATGGAAGTGGAGCACAGCTGAGCGAGCAGCAGGGATGGGGACACTGGGAGACACTTTGACAAAGTCCTTGCTCTGGGTCCTGGCTGCTTGTGCTGCAGTATGGGGACGCTCACATCACAATGAGGTCCAAAGGGAGCAGGGAACAGCCCCCTTTCGTCCTCAGGTCCTGGTGTCCTCATGTTGCTGGGGACACACTGCTGCTGGCATCTGTTCCACCTCCTGCCAGGGTCTGGCCTGTGCTGCCCCTGTCACCCAGAGGGGACAGCAGGGCTGGGAACACCTTGAACCCCATTGCAGGGTCTGCAGCAGCCACCCAGTGCTGCTTATCTGGGTCTCCAAGCACACAGCTCTGGTGGGGACTTATCATATCCCTGCAGGTGGCTTCCAGGAATGCCACCATGTCCCTGCCCTGCTGGCACGAATAGCACAATAGCATGGCGCTGGCTGCAGGATGTGACCCTCGAGAGGACACACAGGGCTGGGGACACGTATGGGCAGAGCCACATACAGGCAGGTGGCACACACAGCCAGGCACTGCGGCTGTTTTGGGACTCACATGGCCAGGGGCCACAAATGGCCACAGTCATGTACAATCAGGTGACACAACCCTCTTGGGGACACATAGATACATCCTTTGGGGTAGCATATGTGACACAGGGACACATTGGACAGCAGTTTGCCATGGGAAGCTCCCATGGAATGAAGGACTGGGGGTGATCCAGCAAGGGGGTGGCTCCTGGGACCCCCCTGTCTTTGTGTCCTTCACAGGCAGAGCTTTGTGGGATGGCACAGAGCTTCTGGATGCTGCCCCTCCTTTCCCTCCCCCCACCCCCCCAGGCACGAAGGGGTTACAGGGCCACACCAGCTGTGCTGTGCAGATGTGAGATATGCAGATGAGGCTGTGCAGGATTTATAAAGTGGGTGCAGCAGCAGCACCACCCCACAAAGCAGCGGGGTCACCCCGAGAGGTGGGTGTTGCCTATGGGGACGCAGCGGGGTGGTGGTGGCACTTTGGGGACGAGGTGACACTAACGATGCTCTCCTTTTGTTTAGGTGCTTCTCATCACGCTGCCTGCCACCTTGGGCTGGATATCATCATATACTGTAAGTTCACTATGAGACACTACAGTATAGATGATGTACTCCCCTGGGCTGCACCCGGCTCTGAGAGCTGCTCCGTGGGACTGCATGGTGGGGCACAGGGGGGTTATGGGGCACCCGGAGGAATCAATGCAGCCAAGGACACATGGCTGGCAGGGAAACCGTTACCATTACTGAGTTTAGTAATGGTAATGGTTCTGCTGACGGCCAGGCTCGCAGCGTGGCATGGATTGGTGTGGGTTGGTGTGGGTCAGTGTGGGTTGGTGGCGTGGGTTCAATAAAGTCAGAGATGGCACAGAGATGGTGGCTCCTTCCCTTGTGTGTGGGGGGATGGGGATCAATGTTGGGGTGTGGGGGGGGTATGGAGTGGGACAGTTAGTGATGCTGTGAGGGGTGTGGGGCACTAAAGGGGCACTGGGGGGGATTGCATGGGGTTCAGTGGGGAGCATTGAGGGGTGTGGGGGGCACTGGGATGGGCTGGGGAGCATTGTGGGGGACAGTGGGATGAGTTGTAGAGGACATGGAGCACAGAGGGAGCACTGGGATGGGCTGCAGGAGACACTGGTAGCAGTGTGTAACCTGGGGGCACTGGGGGCACTATGCACACTGTGAGCACCTGGAACGCTGGAAGAACCAGAAGCACTGGACACACTGGGAGCACTGAGGGCAATGAGAGCACTGAGGTGTACTGGGCACAGTGGGCACACTGGGAGCACTGGGCACACTGGGAGCACTGGGAGCACTGAGCACACCACGCTACGCCGTCGCTCGCACTGACTGCTCCAGGCGCGTCCAGCAGGGGGCGCTACAGCCATCACTGCGGCGCCCTAACCCCCTCTCCTTCCTCTCTATGCTCCCCCCGCCCTCTCCTCCAGTAGGAGCGGCCGCCGCTCGCGCTCCCGGCCTGCCCCGCGGCGGGGCAACATGGCGGCGCCCATGACTGCGGCGGTGGCACGGGGCGTATGCTGGGCCCTCAGGGCCGCTTCGGCCGGTCCGCCGTCACGGCGTGCAGGTGGGGCGACTGGAGTCGGGCCGGGAACCTCGCTCCGGGGGTGGCCGGGGTCTGGGGAACGTGAGGGCGGGCCGGGCCGAGCCCAAAGGGTTGGGGAAGGGCCGTGCGGTAGCTGTGAGGTGGGAGGAAGGAGCCGTCTCGCTTTCGGGGCGGTTTCGCAGGTTTTGCACCGTTTCAGCGATCCTCCTGGAGAGCTGCGCCCGCTGCAGCGGGAGCGGTTCGGCGCTGGGCCACATCCTGGGCCTCCCCGGCGAGCGGCCAACCCCGGCCTTGGGCCGGCACCCGCCGCCCGTGGCCACCAGCAGAGGTGAGCGCAGCCTGCGGCCCCCCGGCCCCGCTGCGGGGTGAGGGCACCGCGTGAGCCCCTTCTCCCCCCGCAGAGAAGCAGGCCCGCATGGTGCGGGGCCACCCTGACCAGCCCCCAGAGCCCAGAGTGCTGAGAATTGCCATCATCGGAGCGCCCAACGCCGGGAAGTCCACGCTCTCCAATCAGCTCTTGGGCAGGAAGGTAAAACTGCCACAAATCAGCAAGTTTGGGTTGCTGCATCACCTTTATTTTTTTTAGCTATAATGGCTGTGAGATGCTTTCAATTTCTTAAAGGTTTTCCCAGTCTCGAAGAAAGTGCACACAACCCGATGCAAAGCGTGCGGTGTCATCACGCATGAGGACACACAGCTGGTGAGCTTCCAGGCTGCAGAAACGGTGTTGTGCCCCAGGGGCAGCAAAGTGCAGGATCCCCATCCCTGGAGGAGCCCAAGGCTGGGCTGCGTGGTGCCCTGGGCAGCCTGAACTGCTGGGTGACAGCCAACCCATGGCAGGGGTTGGAATTGGATCATCTCTAGGATCCCTTCCAACCCAACCATTCTATGTCTTTTTTCATTTGTATCCTATGGTTGTGTTTAATCACACTGATATAAGTTAGTGGCAGAGCTAAAATTGCACGTGGACTTAGAAAATGTGTTTTTCCTCTTTCTAGATCATTCTGGACACGCCTGGTCTCACTTGTCCCAGGAAAGCCAAAAGGTGTTGCTGCTGCTGTAGGGAAAGATGGGGTTCTATCACTTGAGGTTTGAGAAACAGAAAGTGATTTCCACTGTGGAGTTTGTAGAAGTGGCAGGAATGTAAATTTTTAGCCTCGTTTTGATCTCTGGATTTCTTAATTGTTTATATTTCAGTAACACCCAGAGCCTGGGGAATCCCTTGAGCCCTGCTGTGTTTGATTGTATGCGTGTGTGTGCAGTGAAGGATGGTATAAACCTGTAAGGCAGCTCTGTGTGAGCTGGGATGATGGAAAGTGCTGTTCCCACACCTGCAGGGGGAAGGAATATTGTTGTGGTCTAACACATGTCTAGCATACTCACTTGTTTTTGCCTTTCAGGCATAAACTGGAGGAGGCCATGCTGACAGACCCGTGGGACAGCATGAAACATGCAGATCTAGGTGGGCACTCAACTTCCCTTGCATCAAACCCTTTATCTGCCACAGAAACTTATAACCCTACAGCTGTGATATCTCTGTACACTACTGGGCACTAAAGGCAGACCTGGGAGTGTGAATAAGAAGTGAGGGGAGAAGAGTATTGAAAGAACTGAATTACTTGACACAGGGGGAGGGGTTTAGAATTGTCTGATGGCAAATGCAGGCAGCTTGGGTGAATATTTGGCCTTGGATGTTGCATTTTAGCATGTGTAATATTTGTAGGACAGCAAGTGTAAACTGAGTTTATTGTTTTATCATTTAAAACACCATTTTTGGATTATATGTGCGCACTGCATTGTAGAAGTGAGAGGAGGAACAGCAGCAGGGAAGTGATTCAAATACAGGCTATGGAGAAGCTTAGAAAGAACCTTTGGGAAATGTAGGTTCATTATTTTCCCCTCACTCTCTCCTGGCAGTTCTGGTTTTGGTGGATGTCTCAGACCACTGGACACGAAACTCTCTGAGCCTGGAGGTGCTGAAATGTCTTTCTCAGTTTCCTCAGATTCCCAGTGTCCTGGTTCTGAACAAGGTAAGTGAGGAAGTTGGTTTTCCCACTGCTGATGTTGGGGTGATTTTTCCAGCTCCTCCAGAGCCAGGGCCCACTTGCTGGTCTTGCTCAGGATAAATTCCTGACAGCTGCCCCTCTCTTACATTAGGTGGATCTGCTGAAGAAGAAGTTCATCTTGCTGGGACTCATAAATGAGCTAACAGAAGGAATTGTAAATGGGAAGAAACTGAAAGTGAGGTCTGAATTTCAACACAATTCCAGTTCTTCTGCAAAAACTGTTCTTAAAGTCACTCAGACTCCTCCACCTCAGAACAGAACTCAGGAGTCTCTTTGTCAGCTGGAAACAGATAAAGCCCAGAAGGGCTCTAGTTTGGATAACAGCAGCACTGTGAAGGCTTCTGAGTCCAGTCTTGTTACAGAAGCAGAAGGGCAAAAGGCCTACAAATATGAAGATCTGAAAAATAGGAAAGGCTGGCCACATTTCCAGGATATCTTCATGCTGGCAGCTCTCAATGGAGAGGAAGTGGATACGCTGAAGGTAACTGTGGTCTGAACTTCTGTTATGCTTTGAAATTGTTGTGCACTTAGCCTTGTACCCCAGGGCTTCACGCTGAGCTGCTCCTCCTTTGTGGAACAGCAGAGCTGCTGCCCTTGGGGTGGGCTCACGCTGGAGGAACTGTTGTCTGTCAGTGTGTGCAATGTGTGCGTGTTATCTGATGGGTGTGATGTGTTTTGTGCTGACAGCAATACCTCCTGATGCAAGCCAAGCCAGGTCCATGGGAGTTCCACAGCAGGGTCTTGACCAGCCAGTCACCTCATGAGATCTGTGATAATATCATCAGGGAGAAGATGCTGGAGTACCTGCCACTAGAAGTCCCCTATGGTGTGACTCAGGTAGGAGGCATGTGCTAGCAGACTTGCCTTCCAGTTATCTGTATTGGGAATAACAGGCTTTGTGATGAGAGAGAGATCTCTGGGTTTGAGAGATCTGTGAGGCTTCACAAGCCACGTGGCCTGGCTTGGGACTTGCACGTCAGCTAGTGGGACCCTTTTTGTGTTTTAAGTGGGTCTACAGGTATGCAACTGTGCCAGGGTGCTGAGGTGTCACCTCTAAAAGAGTGGCAGTTGTAGTTCTTTGGTGCTGTGCCAAACTGCTGAGTCTGTGCTTCTGTTGCAGGTGACAGAGCTATGGGAGGAAGGGCCAAGCGGAGAGCTCGTCATTGTGCAGAACCTTGTGGTCCCAAGAAAGTCTCATAAGGTAAGAGAAGAGAACTGGGGAGCATGAAAGGAGATTCCCTGTATCCAGCATGTGTGTGTCCTTGCTGCATTAGACACACTCTGCCCAGGCTCTGGGCTTTGTGTTGAGAAGAGCTTGGTTTCTGGTTGGTAACAGCTTGTACCTCACTATTAGTTTCTCATGGCTTGGTTGTAGGACACCTCTGATTGCTCTGTTCTGTGTCCTTCTTTGTCTGCACTGTTGTTTTCTTGGATGACTCCTCTGAAAGGCTGAGCTTGATGATGTTCTGTCTGGGTTTTGATACAGCTGATGTTGATTGGAAGAAGAGGTGCAGTTATCAGCAGGATCGCCCAGGAGGCCGGGCAGGACCTGATGAACATTTTCCTCTGTGATATCCGCCTGAAGCTCAAGGTGGAGGTGAAGAGTTGAACTCTTCGTGTAGGTTTTGACTGTCATTGAGCTCATGTGGAGAAACTCGTCCTGTTTTCTGCTGCAGGTATCTTAACACCTTTGTTTAATTCAGGATCGAGGGTGACGGAATCAAGATAGCGGGCTGAAGTAGAATATATTATTCTTTAGGGAAATGGCCCAGATGGTAATAAAATCTTCAGATCTACAGTATGGAACCTGGGGATGCACATCACAGCGCCCCCGGTGCAGTTCCAGCACATTTGCAGAGTTGTCATCTTCTTCAAGGCTGTGCCTTGCATCCTTGCTAGAAAGTGTTCGTGGTTGGAAATCCAGAGTGACTTGAGTCAAGAGTCTGACTCAACAAGGGAAGGGTGGATATTGTGATTCTTTCAAGTGTGAGGGAACATCTCCTGCCTTTTAGCAAAGGGTTGCAGTGAAGGATTATCAGCAGCCATCTATCATCTCTTCTGAAGGCTGAGTGATTCCAGTAGGGTTAAGGCAGGAGGCAGAGGCTCCCCCACCCCACGCAGCAGTCTCATTTTTGCAGTTACTCTGTTAAAGTTCATGGGTGTGAACACAACTGCCTGAGGAGTCAGTATTGCCAAGGGAGGGTCTGTGCCTGTACATATCTTGTTTTTGGTATTGGGTGGGGTCCTGCCTTTACATCTGTTTGGCAGTTCAGCTGATGAATGAAAGCTGAAGGGTTGGGTCTGAAGACTCCTTGGAGCAGCATTGCGTAGGTGCTTGCTTTTCATACACAGACAGATGGCAGCCCTTTTCTTAGGGACTTGAATAGTTTATTGCAGGAACGTTACTACAAAGCCGTTACACTTTGCACCAGCATAGAAAGCCAGAGAGGGGCAGAGCTGAAGGAAAGATCATGGTTGGAACAGCGGCTCAGGTGGGGTTTGAGATCAGTCTCAGGAGGCTGCACTGCAGCACTGCATTGCATTTACAGTGGTTTCTGGGAAGGAGCTCTGTGCTATGTGTACCCCTGGGCTGGAGGAAGGGGGCTGCTGGGGGCTTCTGCCTGGAACCGAAACCTGTTGAGCAAGGGTTCAATGTCCCTCTGCAAGGGGCTGCTTTACCAACCTGCACTGAGCCACCTATACCACACCAGGAGCATCAGGTCACCCAAAATCCACCCGAAAAATCCTCCAAGGCCCAAGCATTGTCTTTACTCCACCACTTAACCCCGTTTCGTGAATCCATCTCACCCACGCTTTTGTTTTTCTTTCTCTTACAATAAACCCAGCAGCCTTCTATTAAAACGATCGCGCAGGTAAAGCGAGGCAGTTGTGAGAAAGCTTCCATTCATTTCAGAGCTGTTGGCTGCAGTGGGTTGGGGTGGGGTGGGGTGGGGTGGGGTGGGATGAGTTGGGTTGAGCTGGGGTGGGATGAGTTGAGTTGAGTTGGGGTGGGATGAGTTGAGTTGAGTTGGGGTGGGATGAGTTGCCCCCCCCCAAACCTCCCGCGGCTGTTTTTCCCTTCGCGCCCGCAGGGGGGCGCCATAACAGCGGCGCTTTCTCCGCGTGCGCGGGGGGCGGGGCGGGGCCGGGCCGTTGGCGGGCAACGCGCATGCGCGGCAGCGGCTGGCGCAGCCACCACGGCGTAGAGCGGGCGGGCGGGGAGCGGCGGGGCCGGCACGGGCACAGCGGCGGCGGCGCCATGAGGCCCGGGCAGGGGCACCGAGAGTGAGTGCGGGGAGCCGGGGGCGGGAGCCTGACCTGGGTTCAATCCTCCCCATCTCGTCGTTCCTTCCTTCATTGTCCTTCTTGGGGCCCCCCTGCCCCCCCCCCCACCTCACCCCCCCCTTTCATCTCCTCACCGCCCGGCGCCGCCCCTCGGGCGCTGTCGCGATAGAAGGAAGGTCGCGACAGAACGCGCGCGGGTTCTGAGGTGGTTGGGTGACGGGGTGAGGCCTGGCCGTGGGGGTGAGGCCTGGAGGCCGCGGCCTGGTTCGAGCTGAGGGCCTTCGTAGGGCCTGTGAGGGGAAACGGGGGGTGCTGAGGGGGTCTGAATGGGGAGCTGGGGGGGCTGAGGGGCTGCCGAGGGGACACAGGGGATTTTAGGGGTGCTGGGGG